ATATATATATATATATATATATATATATATATATATTATCGTTTCACCCGAAGCAAGGCGGGAAGCCACTAACACGCAAGGGGTTACAGAGAGTTGGAGCAAGAGCAAAGAGGAGTGATAGAGGAAAGGATGAAGAGAAGGCTAGGGTATAGATCAAGGCATCTGGAGACATCGATTGACATTACATTTGAATAGTTGAAGATTATAGCTATCAGGTAAAGGGGGAGGAAATTCCACAGGCGAGAAGTGCGAGACATGAAGCTCTTGGAGTAGAAGAGACGGCTACATTTAACAGTATCGACAGTGAAAGGGTGAGAGCGAGATGTCAGCCTAGTTGAACGCTTAAATTCATGAAGTCTGGGAACCAGCGAAAGCAGCTAATCGGAGCAGTTACCATGAAAGTATTTGTAAAAAAAAGACAGAGGGAGGCGACGGCACGTCTGTAAGAGAGCGACTGCAGACGAGATGCCAGATCAGGGCCAATTATATTACATATCCGTCTCCGGATTTTATCGAGGACCTTGAGACAAACAGAAGGGACTCTAGACCATATATGGCAGTAATACTCCATGGAAGAACGAATGGTTGATTTATAGATTTGAAGGATCGACTCTGGCGAGAAAAATTTCCGAGTGCGGCACAAGGGGCCAACTTTCCTTGCGGTGGACGAAGCTGTTGATTCAATGTATTTGTTCCATCTCAGGTCAGCAGTCATTGTGTGACTGAGCAGTCGCAAAGAGATGCTCTCGTGAAGTTGAGCGCCAGGCATTCTAATGGTGGGGGAGCAGGGATGGTTCTTTGTGGTGAGTTATAGAGAGCAGTTTTGTTTTTGAGGCATTAAAGTTAACCAGCCAATTCCTGCCCCTGTCCAAAACCGATTAGAGGTCCTTTTCGAGACAAGCGGCCAGGTTAGTTTTGTCAGCGACACTAGATTTGTTTTTGAGGCAGGAGTAAATTGTAGTGTCGTCCGCGTAGATGCCTGCTTGGGAACCTATGACGCCAGGAAGATCGTTGATGAAGATAAGGAACAGAGTAGGGCCTAGGATGGAGCCTTGGGGAACACCTGTGTTCGTGAGATAGGAGCTGGAGGAGAATCCTTTGAGAACGATCTTCAATACACGGTTTGACAGGAATGATTGTATTAAGTCAAACAATCGACCTGAAATACCATAACCCTGATGCTTGCGAAGAAGGCCGGCATGCCAAACCCTATCAAACTCTTTGGAGATATCTAGAGCCACAGCACGAGCTTCTCCATTATTATGAATATATATATATATATATATATATATATATATATATGTAATCGACACCCGCTATCATCCCAGGCCGTCATCCTCTCTCCTTATTCCCTTTCTCCCCTCTGGTGGCGGAGATGGCTGTAAAGGCCCTGCCTACTCCTGAAGGGTTGTGAGCAGGAGTCACAGAGAAGTGTGGATGGTGGACGCGACTGGATGAGTCGGGCCCTCCTGACATCACGATCCTCCTTCTGTTGACTGTTGATCTTTTCATTTATGTGTCGTGTTCTTTCAGAACGTAGGTGATCATGGTTCTCCACAATTTCCTGTCCTTTCTAGCTCTTAATATGTTTTCTCTTTTTGCTATTTCTCCAAAACCCTCTCCTGCCATCGATTTGCTGAGGCTGACTAAGTATGTCACGTGTTGCTTTCCTCTGTCCTTCTTTCCCGCTATCCGTCCTGTGAGTATCAGATTTTCCAAGCCCGTTTTCCTCATTAGATGTCCCAGAAATTTCAACCGCCTCTTCTTGATGTTGAGTATAAGATTCCTCTTTGTTTCCATTCTCTCGTCGTTGCTCACGTGTTCGGCCCATGGTATCTTTAGCATCCTTCTGTAGAGCTATATTTATGTTACTTCAAGTCTCTTCTTAACCTTTGAAGAGATTGCCCAGCATTCGCTACCATACAAGAGGACAGATATCACGTAACAGTTCAGTATCCCTTTCTTTGTTTCCAACGAAAAGTTTCTTAATACTTTGCTTTGATTTTGGAATGCATCTTTGGCCATCCAAATACGCCTTCGGGTAGGCTTGCAATGTTACGTCTGTGGGGGAAAAGGCAGCAAAGTGTAGAATGTCTTCCCTTGCAAGACCGCGGAAACAAGTTTGAATTCTATTTAGAATGAGAAGCGAGGAGTGTGTAGCTTCAGCCCAGATATGACAGCAATACTTCTTTTTAAGTCCAATCTGGCTCTTGCAAAGATTAAAGCCTGGTAGAAGGAGCCTGTAACGATCAAATGAGCCGACCATTTTCCCAGTATCTTTAGTAACGGATCGTATATGAGGTCGAGAATGAACATGAGACAAAATAAACATTTAAAGCATTAAATAAGGTTGATTCGACCCCGTGAAGGTAGTGCGACATGTCCAATCAGTAAGGGTCTGGAATGGAGCTCATCTGGACATTTTCCATGGAAACGGCTACAGGCCAGCAATAAGCTTGGAAAAATTGTTGTCGGGTGAAAAGTAAGTCATCCCCCCACAAGACCGTGTAGATTTGGGAATCTTTCAAGTGAGGCTTGAAAAATACCTGGACCTGAACAAGTTGCAGAGAGGCCCGTATCTGTACATGCCAAGTTGTTCTACTGTTAACTAATTTTGGCAGACATGTTCGCACGCGACTGACGCGCGTTCGTCACAGGAGTATCATTGGAGATGTTAGTCGTTCATCGAGACTGCAAAAAATTCGGAGTCTGAACGATGATGATGTAACAATACGAACTTGGTTTTTAAGATAATGAAAGTAAAAATGCACAATCACGAATGCACAATCGCGAATTAACTAATTCGCGATTGTGCATTCCGAGCTCGGTCAGATTTGAGATAATCTGAAAGAACAAGAATTGACGCACTCAAAACTTTAAAGAGATATACGTTGTTATTCATAAAATTTCTTCTTTTTTATATATATCACGTCCCTTTAGAATGAAGGTGATAATGTCTCTCCCCAATTTCCAATCTTTTCCTGCTGTAACTTTAATCTCTTTACAATTCTCTTTTGTTCCTCTGTTAACCATTTAACAGCAAGAATAGGTTCCAGAAAGTAATAGTTGTTGTGGAGAAGCTTTCAAATTGGAACTTTCGTCTTACATTTCGAACACGGGGGAAATATGAACGATTCAACTCCGTGTTCAAGTAGAAAAGGTCTGAACTGGTGCAACAAAAAAAATGGAGCTCACCTGAACGTTTTCCATAGAAACGGCGACAGGCTAGCAAAAAGCTTGTTGTCGAATGTCACTTGAGGACACACAGCACAGTGGATAAAAGCGTTGGTTAGATCCAGTGATAAGACCCAAAGAGTGTGAGTTCAATACCCGGTTATGGTAGTGGAGAACTTTCAGAGGGAAATTAACAGGAGATAACTTGAACATGGCATGTGGAACTAGAACAGTCTACCCCAGTGAGCGAAATAAAGGGTTCAACCACCTGAAGAAGGCCAGAGCGTACAACGGTCGAAACGTTGTAATAAATATGGCGACAAAGATGAGGACAATAGTCCGAATAATGTAAATAATGTACATAATACCTCATCTCAGAAATATGGACAGTTTTAATTTAATAACAATATCACTTGGCAGAATCTTTTAAAATTTAGAAGTTTATAAATTATTCTAATTATAATAAAAAAAATATGAAGAAAATTTTTGTAAAAATTCATTATTCAATGAAAAAATTAAGTCAATACTGTTCATAACATATTTCATTCATAAAAGCCATTAAAAGCTTTTCTAATTAAAAATGTTTTAAATATCAGTTTTAACGCATTTTATTACGATTTAGGTCAGATTTTCTACAACTAGCGGTCCTCTTTGACTAAAATGTTTTGATAATTTAAATTCTACGATGACTTGTCCTTAAGGAAGCAATACAATTTTTTTTCTGGACATTTTACAATTTTTAATTAAGTGGGTGTAACAGATATAAAAAGAAAATATTTTTACCAAGATTTTGTAAAAAAAAAAAAAAAAAAAAAGAAAAAAAAACATTTCAAAAGTAATTTCATTTATTTCTGAATAAATCCTGAAAGTTTCATTAAAATGAGACAATTATCTGATTTTTACAAGAATTCCCAAAACTGCAAAATAACGTACAAATTTCCCGTACGAAATTATGGTCCTTTGATGACATAAAAAAATAATCAAGATTTTTTTAAACTAAAATTTCCAAGGTTTTAAAAAGGAGAAAAAAACAAACTTTTTTTCAGAAAAAAAAACATTTGACAATAAAAGTTTGTTTCATTTATTTATTTTATTTATTTTTTTGTGTTCATCATATTGCCTACTTTTAGGCGAATTTTTTGAGGTATCTAAATAAAAACATAATGAAATATGCTTGGTAACAAACATAAAAACGTGGTTAATTTTATTTTTTATTATTTGTTTTACACTTTACGCGAGGAAAGTTAGGATACTGAGGAAGGCAAATGTAAATGATAAATAAAGAAAGAGAGAAAGAGAGAGAGAGAGAGAGAGAGAGAGAAATAAAAGATAAAATAAATAAATAAAATGAAACCTGATATAAACATTGATTTTGCGGCCTTTGGAAATCAAGACAATTGTCGTCTGCAACTAAGTGACGTTCGTCAGCTTTTAATCGACTGGTGAATTTAATGGACACGGAAAAAGAAGAACACTTAAGACTGTCGTAAGAAAAGATGAATTTTTTGAATGAGTAAACTAATAAAAAGGTAAACAGTGAGTGAAATTGAATGATTGATTCGTTTTGTCCGGTTTATCAAACCTTTGCAGGTTATTTAAAGGCAGAGAATATTTTTAGATTGTAAGAATTTGGAGGGGGAGAGGAGATAATGATATAGTGATACAAGTCTTAATAATTAACCCATAGCTGAGGGAAGAATAGGTAGATTTATAACTTTTCTCAAGCGTATTTGCGCGTAAGTGAACAAACCCAACGAGAATTGGAACTTCGGATTTCCTATTAACAATTCCGAGCCATTATTGATTCCACCACACGCGTATCCTTGCTTACAGTGCCTGGTATTCCCAAGCGATCATCCATCTAGATACTGTCCAAACACGACGTTGCTTAACTTCGGTGATCTTAAGGGAGCCGGTGTTTCAACATGATGTGGCTGTAAGCCTGCAGTGAATGAAAGGAGATAGATAGATAGATAGATAGATAGATAGATAGATAGATAGATAGAAAAAAAGAAAAAAGAAAGAATTAAATGAAAAAGAGAGAATATGAATGGGGAGGTTAGAGTGAATAGGGGTGGCGAGTTCTAAGACAATAAAATATCCGTAGAAATCCCCCTTATCGCATCGTTAAATATTTGAGCTTAACAATTAATAAATATGAATGCTGGTCGTTATTTTAAGAAGTAAGGAGGTACAAATGAAAATATTTTGAAAGTTACAATTTTTCCATTTCACTGAAATAGATATTAAATAGTTCTATCTTTTCTTCATTCATTTCCCGCTGAAACCAATTAGCGTCTTTGGTGCTTTTTGTCTTCTCCTGCGATCAAAACGGAATAGTCGTAAGGGCGTAACAGTCGTGCGAATTAATGAAGGTGGCGATAAGCATAACTGTTATATGACTAGAAACGCCTGTGAAAATTACACGTTTTTCCTTTTTGAATTTTTTGATGAATCTTAATTCATAAGTTAATAACTGATTAAACTCATAGCGAGTTCTACGACAATAAAATATTCGTAGAAATTCCCTTATCGCATGTTTAAAGATTTGAGTTTAACAACTTTAACAGAATATTGATTCAAAAATCATAAATATGAATGCTGGTCGTTATTTTAAGAAGTAAGGGGGTACAAATGAAAAGATTTAAAGTTGACAACTATTTTTTCCATTTCACTGAAATAGACATTAAACAGTTCTATCTGCCCTCCTTTCTTTTTTCTTTCTTTCTTTCTTTCATTCATTTTCTTACTGAAACCTAGTAGCGTCTCTGATATGTGTTTTGTTTTTATACACAATCAAAAATCATAAAAAATATGATATATTGTTATGAGACGTTAAACATTACGAAAGTAGTATTCCCCCCCCCCACCGTTTCAACGTGACCAGAACGGAATAATTCATTATTGATGAGCTGCTGGCAGGGCGTAACGGTCGTGCGAACTAACGAAGTGGGGAATAAACACAATTATTATACGATAATGTTATTGATGTTGCGTTATTTGCTTTTAAAGTTAATGGTGTTAATATTTTTTACAGTTTATGTGATATAGTATTTTTGAGTAAGGATTTCTCAGATTTCTTAGTGAGGCTTTTGTTGTATTGATTAGTTTTATGTGATTCAGCTGTTAGATAAACGGTAGGTTAAACGACAAGGCGATGTAATTATTTTGGGACCAACGTATACTTTGTCTAAAATATTATTAATATTAGAGTAGCATTCTCGAAATTGGCAAGTATACTCATAGATAACATTAGTTTGTTGAAAATTTGAGTTTTTGTTGTGCTGTTGGTGATGCTCACGTTGGTGTGTGTGTGTGTGGGGGGGCGGTAATTTGTTTATTCTTGTCGTTAGGTTTTGCTCTGTGTGTGTACAAGCACAGGTGTGAAAGATTGGGCCTTGGTTGCTTAAACATTCCATACCATATCCCCAAAGAAATCTACTAATAGAAAAAACAACGTTACTGATTTCCTTCCAAAGGTCTTTGATTAGTTTGGAGCTATGCTGATGACATAGGTATTCATAGTTGGGATAAGAGTGATATTAAGCAAAATATCAATATTCTTTACCAAGTGTTCCAAGTATGAAGTTCCAAAATAGAAACTATGATCTGAAATTGGAATGAAAGCAGTGATGGCACGTACCCTAAATCCATCATAAAAACCCAGGATATGGAATTAATAAACCCTGAATATTTCAAATACCTCGGTGTATGGATCAGTTATGACAAATTTAATATAGAATATAAGGAAATTGAACTCGGAATAAGATGTGCTACGGATAGTTTTCTATAACACCGCAAGTTGCTTCAAAACCAAAATATTAGTATAAAAACTCGAATCTGATCTTCTTCATCAGATCTAGACTGTAATATGGGTGCCAACTGGTTCAGAAATCTTTAAACTATAATCAAACGATTTCTCGTGATTGATTGATTCATTTTTTACAGCTTATCAACCTTTTGCAGGTTATTTACAGCCAGAAAATATTTTTAGATTGTAAGAATTTCTTTTGGTGGGGGGAAATAATAACAGTTTAATGATACAAGTCTTACTGATTAACCCATTGTTGGGGGAGAAGAGGTGAATTCATATCTTTCTCAAGGGTATTTGCGCGTAAGTGAATATAACTAACCCAACAGGAATTGGAACTCGACTCCCCGATTAATAGTTCCGAGCCATTATCTATTACACCACCCGCACATCCAATCTTACAGCATCTGGTATTGCCAAGCGGTCACCCAATCTAGATACTAGGTGATGTGGTCACAAGCTCGATTTCTCAGATTAATCACTAAAAATGGTTTTAAGCGAATAATTTAATTCATCAACTTTTATAGATTGGCGCTACAGAATCAAAATGAAATAATTTTACTAAATGAAATAAATCACATCATTTGAAGACTTTCAGCAGCAACATTTGAAATGGGTAGCGTATGTAATTAGAAGGGAAAACAATAATATAATCAAGATGTTGACTTTCCACATTACGCTAGACAAAAGATTAGTAAGGAAACCTTAAGCAATAACTAGAAAGAGCTATAACAGTTAGTGGACTTAAGAAATTTAGTTTCTTGAAAAACTAAGTGATAGATTTTATAAATTTCAACCGACACTAACGGTTTTCTCTGTCAGTTAATGTCGATTGTTTTTTTTTTTTTTTTCTTTAATCAATTCGCCCTAAGTAAGGCAATAAAGTTACTAAGGCGCAAAGGGTTACAGGGCGTGAAAGACTGCATAATGAATTCCTTTAGAATCGGTTAATAGCATTTTTTTACATTATTTTTATTTATATTATTGTTTGTTTTTTTTAAATTTTTTCCAAAGCCAACTTAATTTTGTTACCAACATTCTTTACCAAGTGTTCCAAATATGACTTTCCAAAATAGAAACTATGATCTGGAATTGGAATGAAAGCAGTGATGGCACATACTCTGAATCCATCATAAAAATTCAGCATATGTTTACTGAATTTATTTAATAAATTCAATTTGAGGTACGGCGAATATTGCCCGAAAGCTGCATTTTAACTTGAAAATTTGCTAGTCGTCTTATGCGCACAGTCGCCTTGTACGCCTTATAGTAACAATAATTTCCCTGACCATATAGTCGATAAACAACCTAATCTAACCCAAAACAAAACAAAAGTAAACAATAATATTAATAAAAATGTAAAAAAAAAAATACTGTTGAATAAAAAATTACTGCTCTGCTGCATATATTTATTCATGTTAAAGGCCTAAAGTACAAGGCCTAAAGTACAAGGCCTAAAGTACAAGGCCTAAAGTAAATGGACTGGTACTCATTAGCTATCCTACTCCCAGTTAATCACAATGGCGACCTCAAGAACACATCCATCACCACTCAATCATGCATACACCACAATACCGCATATTCACAGGGGACCTAAAAAAACACCCCATGCCATAAAAATTTGAACAGTTTAAAATATAAAAACATCAAAAAAATTCATGAAATGATGGGGAGGGGATGGACCCAATAAACGAATAAAGATGTTACAAAAATAAACTAAAACAAATGTTAAAAGGAACCGTTCTCCCCTCAAAATAAGAGTGTGCGCTGCATCAAGTCCCGGAGACTTGCCATTGCCGGCACTCTTCAATGCCAAGTGAACTCCGCCCTCTTTGATCTCACCCTCACAGCTAGCCGCTTCAATCGGCGCAATCCAAGGATAGTCAGCCAAATAGCTGCGAATCTCATCGTCACTGAGACCAGGCTCCTACGTAAAACGGCTCTCGAAATGCCGCCGAAACGCCTCCTACATGCCCTTGGTCGACCTCAGAGTAAGCTCCTCCGGAGTATTGACCTCGCGAATGTAACGATCGGAACCTTGACGGATCTCTTCCTTGCGCAATTCTGCGCCCATGTTCACAGCTTCGTTAGACATCTTGTTTAACCTATGTCTAACTACCTGACCCTGGTAGAGTTTGCTAGCCACGGCTATCTCTAGGGAATCCTGCCAGCCACGGCCCTCGACAGACTATCCCCTAAACTCTCCACTTTTTTAGCCTTATCTAGAGCGAGTCATTGGCTATATTCAGTGGTGAAGGAACTTAGTCTCTCCCATCACCTACTCCCAATAACCGTCCCCACTAATTCCCGCTGCTCTAATCTAGTCAGCTGTTGGAAGTCCCACCTGTTCAGCAAGGACAGATTGAACTTCCAGTTTCAGCCATTCTGTGCCTAGTACATAACACGACGTGTCTGTCGTCCGAATAGTCTAAACGGTGAAACGTGAGACAATCTAGTAAATCTAGATCGACTCTTTTCACAAACATTCTGCCCAGGTAGCTGGATACTTGGAGAGAAGTGCCAACGTCCATATCTCCCACCCCATATAATCGACCCGGTATCTTGGGGTTCAGGACGCCATTAAGACTAAACGCCACATCTCCACCAGGAATGGCTCCAACAGTCGGAAAACAGTCGACACGTTCCCTATGATCGTTGGGTGCATAAACTGCAACGACCAGAAACAAACTACTGCTCACGGCAATATCGGCCACGATCAAGCGCCCCAAGACCCCCGACTCCCGGGCACACATGGACAAGGTCCACCTTCGCATCCAGGGAACGTTTGACAAACAAAGAAATACCCCTGGCCTGTCGGTCCCCGTAATGCTGAATAGACAAAAGTCGCTAGACAGCACACGAACATCGACGTCGTAAACAAATCTCGTCTCCTGGATCACGGCCACAACTGGCCCGAAGAGCAAGAGATCACAGTGCAAGCGGGCAGCCTTACCTTAATTTCTCATGCCCCTCACATTCAGGTTGGGTAGCTTGATAGAAATCTTTTATGCTGTTTTTAGGAAATCCTTAAACGCAGAATGGAGGAAAATCTGTAGCAGTCCGGATGCCGACATTGTCCTATACTACTGTTTCCTATATCGGTCGTGATTCGACTATCAGAGACCATG